TGTTCTTCTCTGTTGTTCGAGCTAAAACCATAGTTGTAAATACAACAATATACTCAAATAATACACTCGTTTTCAAGCAAACTGTTAAACATGAAGATCATACTTAAAACAACTTGAGCACCTGAGCATGTAAAAACTGCAGCTAAAGGGTCTATGCCTTACAAGGCTGCCAAAGAATACAATACATATTAGTTTGTATGAGCCCCCATTTGTTTACATTTAATCCATTACTTTGCCTCAATAGACTTATCAATTCTTCATTGGTAAATTAGTGTACAACAGCCATGTCTTTGCCTATCCATGCATAGCTTCTATTTAATCATGTGCAAGCTATTAAAGATGTCAAACAAATCAGCAGCCTTGTGAGTGATTTATTTGTTTGCTTGTCACTGTATTTCAAGAACTAAATTACCTCAAATAAAATAACTGCTATCAGCAAATATGTAATTAAGTAGAGGAGCCCACAGCCTCCCCCCAATATTCAGTAACCCTTTTGCAATTACAATATGGCTGATCAGACTGAATGGAGGTGATGTGAATATTGCCAGACCCCTGCCACTGCAGGATGGTTGCCTTTTAATAAATGATAGCTCGTGGACTGTAAATCTAGCCAATTAAAGCGCTCATCTGACTGCTCTGCAAGCACACTGCTAGAAAGGCTAATGCAGACTGCCTCCCAACAGGCAATGAAAGGACAGCTGTGAACCAGCAAGGAGAGAGGCCCTGACAGCTTAGTGAATACTCTCCCTGCATGAAAAGGCACACCTTTTAGTGAGATGAGATATACTCTTATATATACACGCATATATTCTGCTCCATCACTCCCTTTTCTCACTAGGACACCACTGTTCTTTTTCACACTACAGAGGCAGAAATGCAGGTGCTTACAAGACGGTCACCCTAGTTTTAAAAATACACCACAAATACCAACCATACTTCAGGCTACTTAAGAGGTTTATTTATATGCACATGCAAGTGAAGGCATTTTAAACATCAAATAAGAAGGTGAATAAGAAGGTGAATTATGTTGCACAACAGAAATGAAACATGAATTATCTGAAACGGAAATTCAGAACTTATTAGGTCCTTGTATAATAAATGCACACTTCAGTATATTGCCATAATGGCACAACTCCAATCTCAAAATCAGTTTCTGATCATCATCAAAAACCTCTTCAGCCAGATGCTGCTCTTTTGCACTACATGGAAAAGCTATTGCAATTATATGTTCTAGTGCATCCATGCTTAATCAAGGATTTATACTGTATATACACCTACACTGTAGTCCTTTACCTCAGGTAACAATGCTAGCTGAACTGTATTTACCAATCAAGGACAGAGCATTGGAGATTAAATCTTGGGTTTTCAATGACTTGAAAGAGGTGGTGTTTCAACACAACACTGGGAATGGACGAGTTTCAACTGAAGCACACAATTATTCTACAGTGAGCTAATACTTTCTGAACTGCAAGTTGGGGTAGTTGATGTCTGATTTCTGTTTATCAAAGGATTTCCACTTTCAGATGGTTATCGGTTGGTATGCAATTTAATTAACATTTATTTTTTATTATGAACGGGATTTCTAAAGCACATCACAACCATCACCCAGACAGACCTTATTTCTATTACTTGTTTCTATTTGATATATCGCTGTTTTATATAGAGGGAGTATATAAGAACTTCACTGGACAGCATTCAAATTTGGCTTTATGTTTCATCAAATTCCTATGTCATGCAGTATAATGTCTGACAGAATAAATTTTCCTTGACATTTCTTGCAGCAGCAGGAAGAAAGTTTTCAACTGACAAGTAAAATGAGTGAGAAAGGGCCAATGATGATCTTAAGACAATGGAGAGGTTAGCTGGAATAAACACATACTGTACGGATACACCAACCAGGTGTAGAGCCCAAAGTCTCGTTTTGTTTCTGAAGCAGCCTTGCCCCCATCACCCTAGACAGCACCTTATCTTGCACATTAATAAATGACAATGTTGGACCTAGCGAGGATTCATGGCTGCCTAAGCACCAGCTGCAATTACAGGACATGTTGAGGAAGATGATTTAGTCAATGAAGCTGATTAAAGTAGGAGCCAGGCAGCTGCCTTTGTCTCGATCCCCTGCCTGCAAGATTCTTCAGTGCTGTCTGTTTTATGATAACAGTGGCAAGTGTTATCTCAGGCAGACTGGCTCAAGCAGACTGAGATCACAATGTTCTTACTGACTGATTCCGGGGAGCTGCCTTCAAGGTGACAGGGAAATCAGCACCATGGACAGCATCTAAAGCTTCTTCAAAAGCATTTTACTGTAAACCACAAGAGACAAAAGCTGTACTGTTTTGTATAGAACTGTGCTCAATCTTAAAAGCAAAGTAGTAAACCTACAGAGCCAGACATAATTAAGGTTTCAATCTTAATTCAATTAATTTCTTTATAGATGTTTCCCTATGTTAGTCAACTTATATTTCCAGAATATATTTCGAACTTTTGCATATAGATTTGTTAATAATCAGGTTAATAAAAGCACTGCCAGGATAAATTTAATATAGAAAATAATAGAGAGTTACAACAAACATATATAATATAATTCCAATATCTTGGAATTAAAAAAAGCTTAAAAACAGCTCCTTTAACAAAGTAATAAAAACTGTATAAACCTCTAATTTCTGGATGTTAAGCCAAAATATTAATAAAATAGAACAATTTCTACCCAAGAAATGTTCTGTTACTCTTAGAAAAGTGCAAGATTGCAGACCTACAGTGCAGATACTGAATCTTAAAAGGAAACCAATCATACCCTCACAGAAAGTACTATTTTATTTCATTAGCTGAGCAGCAAAAGAGCCAGTAAGGATCAGATGCTATCAGATGATTGGAGACAATGAATTGCCCTTGCTTTGAAAGAGGATCTCTTAGTCGTATACTGTACATATATATAAAATCTCAGTAAATAAAAACAGGACAATTCTATTCTGTAATATATGCATATTTAAGTGGGTAGGTGAGACATTACAAGAATTACCAGACTTATGTAATCTACCTTACTGTCCGTCAATACATTTTTTAGAGTAGAAAGAAGTCTGTGGAGGCCATACTGACCCATACATCATGAGAGTCTCTTGGGAGTTTGTAGGATGGCAATGTCGGCAGAAAACAATCTCCAGGAAAGTGGATCATGATGGATGGAGCCTATCCGTGCAACATGTTGCCACACATAACAGACATGCGACAGTGACCCACACTGCATAAGCCAATGACCTTGGACAAGACAAGCTAGTTTCTGTCTGAATAACATTTCAGCAGCAACATATTGTGTGCTTCAGCACAAAGTAGAAATGCAAAGAATAACAATACTATTGGTTATAGACTGTGACGAATGATTTCCTACTCTATGCGCCTCTAAATTTAAGGAATCAGACCTGCTGCCCTCAGTCCAGGATCAATTGTTATTGTGTGACTTTCTATGTGATGTGCCATTCCAAATACATCCCTCAACGCTGCTTTTGTGACCACTACAGGACATACAGGGCGAGAATGACATCTGTCATACCAATAGATTTCTGGGTTGCAATGAATAAGCCACTTTATAATAACAAAATACAGATTTTTAGGGGTCATGATACCTGAAATATTTTACCTAGAATGTTTCAGGTGCAAATGTAACGGAAACTGAACCACAATCAACCAGTGAGTACAGTAAATGAACTGAGGAAAATGTAAAACATCACTTGCAAGTATTGCAAGGATTTCTGTAGCCAAAATAAATTCCCTGCAAGATTATGGGACTGACTTTTAAATCAAGTTTTTTCTTTCAAAAAAATTAGAATTATTTGAGTTGCGGTTATATTTAGGAGATGACGCTTTTCAATGTCTTTTCTTCAAAGTTTTGTCAGATAGTAATGTTTGTTCCATTCAAGAAAAGAGACCAGTTAACATACAAGAACGATCAGTATGCTCTCAGTCCAGCTTTGCATGTTTTGTTGTTTATAATATTTGACCTGTGCTGTGTACATTAAAATCTGCTTGCAACAAGATCGGAATTAACACTCTCTTGGAAAATACAAGAGCTATGCCTTTTAGAAATCTGCTTGCTCAAAACCGAACTCTACTTAGATAATGGAACAGTTACCAGTAGTATTCCATGATATACCCAGTCTTCTCATACATACATACAATATAGTTATATACATGTGTGTGTTACATACATACATAAATTAATGAATACAGAAAATGGAATACAAACACCAAAAATCGTCTATGCGCTGACGTTATCACCAGATGAAGAAGAGACTCTGTAGCTTTACGCCTGATAGCAAGTTGTTCCACAGACAGAAGCAAACTGGGTGTGTCTCAATGCATACAGCATTATTTTTCATTTATTCAAAAATCAACTGCTGCTCGCTGAGTAAAAAAATAAAAAAACTATTAAGCAATCAAAATCAAAGGGACATTATATGATATAGTGTTCTATTTAATTTTAAAGCAATACATTTCGCTAACAATTCATAACGTTAAAATTAGATGAAATCTTAATACAGCAACTCATATCGGAACAAATTACTATTGCATAACAAACCGAACCAAAATATTAAGTGAAAAAGACCATCTCACAACAATAAATTTTAAAAAGTATAGTTTTAAAAGATATGATAATGATGATTTTGTGATCAACACCAATATTAAAAAAAAACATGCTTTACACTTAATATTTATTTAAATAAAGATTTAATTTACTCAGTTTGGGATTTTAGGGATTTCGGTATGATTTAATTGCTTTGCTCCTTACAGTAATAAGAGTACAAAAAACTTGCAAAACACAGTATATCGAGAGGATATTTCCTTATTTACCGATTTTTTGTGTAACTTTTTTTTAGTCTTATTATAGGAATTTTAGAGGTATTTTTCTCAATTTTGTACAATTCGTGATTTCACCAATTCGGCAAGTGCATGCAGATTATTTTAGCACTTGGGCAGCTAGGAGAAGAAAACAGAAGAGGACTCACCGCTTTGCTCCCCCAGAAAAACGAGTTTGAATTTTCTTAAAGGGTTCCCAAAGTCGCCACCCACGGACATGTTTGGGCTGATTTTTTACTGGAAAGGATGATTGATATGCGATCTACCTCTTCAGGTACACTTGCAGTGGATGCTCGATGGGTAAAGATACGCTTAAATCCGCTGAACGATGAGAATGCTGCACTGCCTTGCCTGTCAGTTTCAGCAGCCTGTGCGCCTGCGCGGCCTCTCCTCTCTGTGTCTGCTCTCCCCCCCCCCTCCTATATGACGTCATGCAAGTGATGTTCAGGCAGTGCAGAAACATACCCGATCACATATTAGCAAAAGTAACGTCTTCCTGCTTTTAGTTTTTACAATAACCAGAAATCGAGTACAGTAACTTGAAACAAAAATTAAATTTCGTTGAGCAAAACACAACAAAATGCCTGTCGTGCTCTATTCCTTGTATTCCACTCACGACTGGCAGTGCTCACTGCTTAGTTTGTTGATAGGGCGTATCTCACTGCAGTTAAATGTGATTTCAAACAACAACAAAAAAAAAGGGTTTTAAAAATACTGTAAACCATAATCCTTCTGTTACACTACAGCTATAACCTGCCTAAATGAGAAACGTTTCACTGCCAGATGGAAAAATCACTTTTTAATGGCAAAACTAACCATAGACTGATCATAAACAAACCAAGAGAACCAAGATCGTCTTTAACTAATGGAAAAGTTGCATTCTCTTTTGTTTAAAGATCACAGACTATGTGCTTCGATGTAACTCCTACTTTGGTTAATATTTTCAGAACCCAACCCTAGCAGTATTACCAATTACATGGTGATAGCAAAGGTTTGGTCGTAATTGTGCATTTATGAGGTACCCTTTTCTCCAAATGTGGACTATGTACTTCAGTAGAGCAAAGGTGTAACCCTATAATCTTTTATAACCATTTTTAGAAAATAAATATCAGTTATATAGGTGTTTGTGACAAATCAACCCCTACAGTAATTCAGCTCCTGATTCCTACCACCTATCCAGACCCTAACAGAAACTATGATTTCTGCTGCGCTCCGCTTCGAATGTGCCTGTTTACATCTTTTAGAACAACTACGGTTTCATACGTACTGCATGCTCTATGACGGAATGAAGCAGACTACATAAAACCACACTCAAAGCAGAAAGGTTTGTTTTTGCGTTTAGGCATAAGTGATTTTAAAGCCAGCTCTGAGACTGTTTGCCCCCCGACCAATGTTGTCTATCCCTGACGCTGAAAATGTGATCAAACCGAAATCTGTAAGGTGGAGGACTACCTCTGGTCTGCCACTAGGTGGCGCTGTCTATTAGTGATGTAATCACATGCCTTCACAACTGCTCGTACGCCAGTTAACCATTCGCCCTCCTGTACATATCTGTATACCTCACTTGTCCCCTAAAATTCCGAAACAACCATAAATGTGTTTCAATGGAACTTTTGTGGAAGTGGTATGACAAAGTTTTTGGACAATTTCAGTAGGTTCACACATGAATATAATGGATGAAATAGCTTCTTCTGATTCGTGTTCTTATTGATAATATATCATGCTTTCAAAGAAAAATCCAGTGAGACACAAGAGAGCATTTTTATATTTATTATGTCTTTTCTAACAAAATATATCAAAATGGCATGATATCAAATTGCTATAGACATACTGTATATTTTTAATGTTGTACATTAGTTTAAACATTAATTTAAACCATATACAGCTTCTAGATAAAATCTTTGTGCTTCTGACTTTAGTCACACAGCTGTGATCTTATGTAAACTGTAATTTGATGCTAAATACAAAAATTATGATGTGTAAACGTAAATTAATCTCTTGTACTAGGAGTAAGCAGGAGAATTTCAAAAATGTCTGTAGTCTTATAAACATTTTCCAAGTGTGAGATGTTTGATATCAAAACATTGCTTCTTTATTAGGCTAAAAATAACACACTCCTTAAAACAAATATAGTACAATTAATTTAATTTCAACCACATTAAACTTTACTCTGCACCAGGAAAAAAGGGAGGTCTACTTTTTATTTAGAGGAAAACAGATATTGTGGCAATGTGACATTTTACAAATCTAGCTGTCTGGAGAAAAATCTCAACTCTTGTGTAGCTATTTTTAAAATGTCTTTATTAAAGAAGGAGCAAATACTTCTCATGGTGTTAAAGCCAGCATAGTGTTTCATCTAGTAACAGTCAGAGCTATACTTTTTTAAAACTCAAACCTTATGAAATATTACATTTTTGACAAAAAAACAGTTTTTCAAGTGAAGAATCCAATGATGATACATTAATAAAATTAAAATATACAACTATAAAACCAAACTAGATACTTGTTACATTACATACAGCACATACAGCTTGTACTTCACCCTTCTTTAAAAAATTCAGCCCCTGTATTTTTGATTTCAATTAATTCACATTACACTCCCTTTGAAAATGGGAACTGTTAATCAATCTGATTCGTCATTGACAGTAGGGTGGTAATGTTTTGTATATAGTGGTGCTGTCATAAAAAAAATGATATATTTTATCAGTTTATTTGTTCAATGTTCGTCTAGAGTTAACAAAATTAAAATATGGTAGACTTAGTTATATACAATACACAATATAACAGGCAATTAACAAAAATATAATAAGGGTATGTTAAGCTCATTACGATAGAGCCCACAGTCTAAAATGCTTCTGCTTTATTCATATTCACTTCATACTTAATTTTTATTACCTATGTAGCCAAATGGCTTATTAGCAATCAATTAATTTCTCATTCCTGATGTCAGTGCGATTTTACCTTGAGGGAAGATTCCCCAAAACACAAAAAAAGTGATTGTATCAAGAAGTTTAGAGTAAAAGAAGAAAGGATCAAATGTAAAGATTATCTCTTTCACGCCTCCCAGAAAAGCTAATAAATAACAGTTGAAATAGCAGAGCTTTGAATCTGTAACATTTATCAGCACTTGCTGTCACTACCAACCATTTATTAATTATGAAAAATAATCATATGATGTCCAAACTATTCCCTGAAAAGGGAATGGCTTTCTTAGCAAATGAGTAAAATCCAACAGAGGGTGGGTAATGTGAGGTATTCCAAGCTTGGCGATGTCAAGAGCTCTTGTGCTGGAGTGTTTAACTTTCTTCCTTCTTCAGCAGAATGACCATTTTAAAGGCCCGGAAATACAATGTCACTTTCAACAAACCGAAATGAAAGATGAAATCATGCAAACCAATTTCACATTTAGTTTTTCCGTATGTACTGCGGAAACAGGAGCACAGATTTCAAACAGGCCCTTCGGGTCTCTTCTGAAAGCTGTAAGCATTGGTTCGATGCACTTTCCACCCAACCAGAGCTAGCAAAACAATCCCCATGGCTTTAAATCCAACTTGTATGCCCAAGTATCTGCAGAACAAAGTGATTGGATTAGAACATTTGAAGCATATCTCATCAAACACCATAATTAGCAATTGTGTGGGAGATGCTGTAAGAGACCTTTCTTTCCTGATGTGTCAAACAAAGAGAATTTACATGCTAAAGAACTAAGGAAGAATACAGTATGTTGCTGTGTGACGTCATGTGACAAAAACCCTTTGTTCCCAAACAAACATCTTTTGATCAACAGCAGAAGTTAACAAACTCAGTAACGGGGTTAACATAACCCCCTTTCCCAAAACCTGCAGATACTTAAAGGGTAAAGAGATATAACAGATCAAGTAGAATGTTCCTACCTGTTCCTAAGGAGGTTGTTGTCATAGTAACTGCAAGCTCCAGCCTTGTTTGCACATATCTCTTTCCACCTGATGCAGGAGGAATCAATCAGCACTCCAAATATGGCTGGAGCTGGCAACCAAGCTGGGAACGGAGAGAGGAAGAGGTGACAACTTCTACACAACACTGGGGCAATTTCTGTTCAACAGAAGTGGTGACGTATCATAGTTGTGTCTGTTTCTGCTGAAATCTCCTTGGCAAGAAATTCTTAAAATGTTCATTAAATGTATGCTTACTCAGAATTAAATTCTAATTTCTCTCTTTTTAAATGACCTATTGTTATTACTTAAGAAATACGTAAGAAGCGTTTCCTTTCTGCGACATTTCAAATCTGATGTTTTAAGTTTTGATGCAAGTCCCACAATTTTTGCTTGCACTATCATGCTTAAATTGAACCTACAGCAGCTGGGGGCGATATTGGACTTCATTTAAATCACAGACACACAAGAGGAAAACAAGCCTCTGCTGCCTGTGACTGGTGAGCCAGTATTTTACACATAAACACTTAGGCTGTCTCAGAAACAAAAATACAGAGTACTAATAATATTCAAGTATTTTAACAGGATATATATCTCAGTGTCACTGGGTCACTGCACCATACTGTTGCTGATATTTTGTGTGCTGCAAAAGAGTGTATTTCAAAAAAGCTCAAGGAAATTGAAAAAAAACTAGGAAAAGTTCATTCTTCTTGATGGCTGAAGCAAAGCTTTTCCTCCAAGGATTTGAGGAATTCTGAGGAAGATTGCTTCTCACTTACCTAGCACTCTCATCAGCAAGAACTGTACTCCAATGGCGAAAGATTTTTCTTTCTGGTCCACAGTTCTAGCAAGGTAAAAAGAGAATGGTTAGAAAAAGAGGATTAAAGTGACAGTCTTTAAAAAATGCTTGAAGTGTAAATCATATCAGTTAAAAAGAAACAATATTGTCTTTAAGTACTAGCTAGAGTTCTTAAACATTAAGTAAAAAACGTTAGATATACAGTAGCTTAGGGAATAGTTATAATAAAAAAATTCATTATAAGCAGCACCTTTAAAAGTAACTTCTGAAAGTGATTTACAGTAAGACAAAAAGGAGAGGAGAATTAGAGAACAGAATTAGAACAATTAAAAACAAGGGTTTAGAATGCAGTAGAATATGCAAAGGGGAAGTTTTGAGTCTGGATTTGAAAGCACTCGGGGAAGGTGACTCTTTGAAATCCTTGGAGATAGAATTTCCAGAGCTGTGGAGCATCACAAGAGAAGACCCTGACACTCACAGTATGTAGACAAGCTTCTGAGGAGGACAGAAAGAGGACAACCAGGAGACCAGAGTCAAGGAAGGAAGGCAGGTTCTAAGGTGCAAAGCTATTTTGAGCCTTACAGGTGAACATAAGGATTTTGAAGTCAACTTGAAACCTGCTAGGAAGCCAGTGAAAGGACAACAGGGCAGGGAACACTGAAGTTTATTTAGTTTGTGGATTTAGATACCCCAGCAAGTAGGGAGTTGCAGTGATCAATTCTAGAGAAGACTGATTTGACCAACTTTTCAGCTCCAGTCAAAGACAAAGACATAGTTTGGCAATATTTCTGAGATGGAGGAATGATGTTTTTACATTATTTAGCATATGTGGGTCAAAAGTCAAGTCTGGATCAAATATCAACTCCAGGTCCTTAAATTTAGATTGAAATTCATATACAATGTCGTCCACTGATAGGGTTACTCCATTGGCTTTACAGAGTTCATGGGAGGTGCCAAGCAACAGTCTCATCACAGTTTAAATGAAAGAAGTTTTGCGTCATTGAGCAATTACACAGTGCAGAGATAGCCATTTCAGTGTCAGGTTAAGTATGGACGTAGATTTGAGTATCATCAGCAAAGACGTGATAATTCATATCATGTGGTTTTAATAGCTGACCAAGTGGGAACATGTAAATGCTGAAGAGGTCTACTATTCAGCATTTGAAGTAAAAAAAAAATCATATTCTAGTTTTCAGCCGTGTTGCTTGCGAACTTCTTTATGCCCCATCACTTTTTATTTGAGTGAAAATCCATTTCATTTTCACTCACTGTCAAGAGGAAAAAAGCCTCTTTTCCTGTTCCACTAAATTAATGCCACCACTAACGCTCCACTCACCCTATCAATTAGGGAAAAAAAAGTCGATTTTCGCTTTCCTGTTTTCCCATGTAGTTTGTGGTGCATATTAAAAACTGCAAGCTGAGCAGTGAAAGTGCAAAGCAGGAAAGAATCTCAGTGTGACAGACAGAGCAGTGTTTTGGGCTTTTAATGCGACTTGTTTCTGGACTGCAAAAGCTTTAAAGGCAACGAAGAGAGCAAGAAACCAACCTGAGGACCATCATGTAGACAGGGTTGTGCGAGAGGCTGGCTATGAAGCTAGCAAAGGAGATGAGGAACATGACTGGCAGGAGGAAGCGGGGGCAGCTGTTGGCACAGGAGCCAGGGCTAGCCGAGCCAGGATCCTCTCCTTCACCAATGCAGCTGCAGTTGGTGTAGTTCTGGGAGAAAGAAACAGATCCCCAAGTAAAAAAAATATCTTACCTTTATGATCAGATTACGATGAGACGCTTATCAATTGACCTTAATGTTTTCATTACTGAAATGTTAAGAATTCTTTCCTACATGTTTGAAAACATTCAGTGCAAGCAAACATTGCCTCATATTGTTAAATGTATGTCAAAAGCACTCATTTTTTTTCCATCGAACCCTTCCTACTATTCCTTTATTACATATTACTGCTTATTTTGGCTATTTCAGTTCATGTTTGGTTAATAAAAGTACTTCAAATAATTATAATCGTATCATCTTTTCCACCTCCATCCTCAATGTCTTTAAATGTTTTTAAAAGATAAAAAATGAGCAATCTTGTCAAAATCTCAGAAAAATGGCCCATTACGCTTACATGCATTAATATACACAGACATACAAAGCTTGGGCGACTGACTGTTAATCCAGCATAGATTTTATACAGTAATCTGTGTCCCGATTTAACTATTTGAAATGGTAATCAGATGAAGAAAAGTGTGGTTGCTTGCAATAGCTTCAACCTGGGAGTCTGACTCTGAACACAGCACAGGCATGAGGAATGTCAATTCTGGGAACATATAGAGGGAACAGTTCACACACGACCTGTGCCAGCAAAAACAAGGTGGATATCTGCAATGCTACAGTATTGCATGTCTGTCCCCTGGCCACTTCAACTTCTCCAAGTGCAAACAGTGTTTATTTCCAAGCTATTAAAAGGCAGGAGCATGAGTCTGCCGTTCCCAAGTGTCTTTATTCTAACCGATTATTGAAGAGGAAATTCTTAATCAATTAGCATTTTTAATCAGTTAGCACTCACCTGAACCCTGCTAAGCTCAGAGTCAAACACAAAGCTGGTACAGCCAGCATGACAAGGCGACAAGTACTCAGTGTTATCTGAGCCACAGACAGGGTGGAAGGCATTCTGAGGGCAGGAACAGTCAGAGTTGCACTGCAACTGGGAACGTGAGGACTGGAAGCTGCTGAAGAAAGTATGAAGACATGAGAGGGGCTTTCGAATGGTTTATCAGTCATAAGTGACTGCTGACTGTATGTTCCCCTTGTCTGTCAAAATCTGAACTGGCTGCACTACCAGACCATATAAAATTACAGAAAGGTGCTGAAGATAATATATTCCACAAGCAATGCACCAAGAAAGTCCATAGAAAATGTGCTCAATGGTTATTGAAAATCATGGTCTCAACCCACCAGATTACATGTTGTATGGTCTTTTTTTTCACCTTATCCTTCAATGCTGCCCTCCCCAAAACCAACTATATATTGTAACTTGCCAAATGTACTTTATGATACATAAATGATTGCATGGAGTCAGGCACTGCTGACACTTTACAAAAAATAGCAGTGGTGGCAGTGTTAATAGTTCGGGTATATCAGATAAGACCATGGCCAGTATGATCATCAAGTACTGTACTGTATGACCCAGAGTGATCTCCGTGTCCTTAGTAGGAGCATTACATACTCCACTTAGAAGCAAAGATACTATCCCTATGCACACTGCGTGAAGACCTATAGATCTTTTATGCCATCAGTTTGGAGATTTCTAAACCATCTGATCAACCTGATAACCCACATTTCTGAGAATCGTGTGTAATGTTTTATTTCCAATTGAACATACTTCACCACATATTACAGTTTCTTTTCACTCTGACAAATCTATAATTTCTTGGATGTATCCATCATACAATCTTTAATTCCCTTAATTAATGTGTGCTGCCCATTATAGCTCCGAACTAACTCCATCAGAATTTCACTTTCGCTATTGGTGCTGCAGCAGCTTCCTTAAGCTAAACTCTTCTGCAGCCTTTTAATGTGAAATAGACTTTCTAATTTGTCATCAGCATTCATTCTCACAGTCATTAAAAACCCATCCTTCATATCCAATGCTATTTTTTCAGTCTTGACCTCTTTTAACACAAAAGACAGACAGAACAATTACTGTACCTCACGAGAGATGTTGACTGATTAAAGAAAAACTTTATTTTTCCATATCATTTTTTGCATGCATCACATCTGACCTGGCATTGTGCCTCTTTTTCTTAAATGACTTTACCGTACAGACCATGTTGGAATATTAGTAATTTGACAGGGATTTCCATTATCAGGAAATTGGGATTTTACTTCAGTAAGCTTTGAACACTTTATCTTTATGATTATGATTAATTCTGAGTCACACAGCAGTTGATCATGTTTAAATTGGGCATTGTTAAACAAAGTCCATTTTCGTCATCTCACTATGTACAAGACATATAGTTAATTTTACTAAGGGAAGTGTCTTAGTAAAATTAACCATGTTCTAACCTAAAGAACAGGAAACACTGAGCTGCTCTCAAATCAAGCAGTTGATTTATACTGAATGATACTAGGAGTCCAGTACATCACGTCCAATTTGTAACATGTACAACTTCATGGAAAGTGTATATTTCTTTCTTTCTGAATCCATTTCACAATAGAAGATAATGTTGCTGAACTGCGCAATGAATATAACTAAATAAGGTAAAACATCATCAGTTGTATCCATTCTAGGCACATGTCATTTTTTTACTCTAAAGTGGAAACAAACAGTACACACACAAAAACAATAACAAAATGAGAATTGAACTGTATGTTCTCTCCCATTTCCTTTCGGTATGTAAACAGCAATAGGAAAATGCTTTTTTGAGCTATGTTAACCATTACGTAATGCTACAGAAAATGGCAAAAAATTATGACATTTCATTGATTGATTGACGATTTAACCTTAAGGAATAATATGCTAAAAAAATAAAATCCGTGCCAGAAAAGTGCATTGTTAACTGCCATATGCAGTAAATGCAACCTCTTTAACAACCATCTTCCTATCACTGATTGTGGGAGAGGAAAAAAACAACTAGTGTTTTAGAGTCTGGGGCAACTCAAGGAGAGACAGACAACAGAAGGAGAAACTGTAATCCGAAAACTCTGAGAACCGCCAGTCTGGACTTATCTGGACAGGATGACACTTGCATTACCAGAACAACATATAAAAAAGCTGACAAAACATTCACACAGCAGGGAGAAAGGAAGAAGGATAGGAGTTTACCTGCTATTCGAGAGTCTGTAGGGAACATTGACCCCCGCAATGTTCTGTGTGGAGCAGCCCATGAAAAATAGGGGAATACAGAGACAGATGGAGATGAGCAGTATAACGCTGGAAAACTTTGGGATTCCTTTAAGCGACAGACCACCCCGCTTCATGATAATCCCACCCAGCAGCATTCCCACAGCAGCTGCTGGTAGGTTAATGGAGCCTGAAGAAAAACAAAACTGTTTCAGGGTGCTTTGAAAAAGGTCCTGTGGAACAAGAAACTAGCTTAGGTGTCTGATTGTATTTGAAGTATGAACTGTCAAGGAAATGCACTCTAAGTTAGGTGGGGATTAGGGAGTTCGCCTCACTACAAATCAAATATATCAAAGATAACCTATGCTAAAATTAAACAGAGTAGCAAAGCAATATTATTGTAACTCAAAACAAGGGACTGAAAGAACAAAAAGTCCCATCTAGTTGTGAGAAATATAGCTCATGTTTCTTGAGTGGTTTTACTGTTAATAAGGTAGGCTTTCAACTCATATTTCATTCATGCTTTATTTATATAAAATAGAAACAACTGGATGTCCATAACAGGAACCCAGAACATCATACAGCAGTCTCTGTGTGCAATAAGCAAATCTATTACATACAGAACACAGTTCTTTGCTGAGCCCATGAATTCTGTTCTTTTAAATGTCAAACTTAAAGCTGCTTCCGAAAATTTATGTTCAAGCCAAGGTTTTCTGAAGATTCTTCTCTTGGTCTCTAGGGTGGGGCTAGCCCCATTGTCGATCAGTTAAATCTGGCCTGTTCACTCACCAATGAGAAGGTTGGCATGGGCAGTAGTCGTGCCATACTGCTTTTCCAGGAATTTGTTCAGGAAAGTTGCAAGGCCAGCAATCACGGAGGAGAAGCAGCACTGGGCCAACACCAGCAGCAGGAAAACCTGATTTAGCAGCAGCTTCACAGTCATTCGTGGAAACTCTGGAAAGAGGCCAGTGACGTATGCAGTTATTAACGGAGCACAAACAGTAACACAGAAAGTAGCTGGGCTTTACCACAGGAGGTGTCTTAAAAGAAGGGCAGCTTCCTAAAAAATAACATTTTTAACATTTATCGACCATTAAACTCAGGCCATGCAGGAAAGGGAAGAAAATTACCACACATCAGTCTTCTGAACTTTGCCTTGGCACTCTCCCATTCATTATTATTAATTGATTAATTATTATTTTAAGCAACATCTATAAAAAATCAATACACCTCAAAAGCTATTTTTCTTTTTCTCCGAGTACTCAAATGCAGAAAATATATAATGCTCAATCCACAAATAGTGGGAGAAAATGTATGAAATTATTAACATTCAGAATAGGAGCCTATAAACAGACAACCACATGTCCACTGTTTACTAAGACTTCTTCTTTTGGAGCTAGTGGTCTGTTGTTATTTTATAGTTATTAAAGCATCAGGCCTTGTTCATGCTCAGTAAAATGTCTAACATTCCTAAGCTTCATCTTAAGTTTATTTCAAATAATCTACTTGGACAATGATTGTTTGCTACATACTGTTAGGAAGTAGCTGTTAATTAAATATTTTCTTTAGACGTGCTGATTTTTTCCACTATACAGTTTTTACTCCTTGCACAGAGCCAAAATTCAACAAAGACTGGATAATAAACAGCAGTTGTGCCAAATTATGTAAAAATTAATTCCAAGAAATAGCAGTTCATTTGGCTCCCCACCCTTAAACACATGGGTTTGATCACAATGATCCACTTTAGCTCCAAATCTGAACTTACTCTTAAGAAAGTCAAATAGTGAGATTTGGTCCTCCTGCAGGTCCTCTTTTAAAACATCAGCTTCAGTTCCGCTTACCTGCAAAACAATTAATTAGCATCTACATATACTCCAAATATGGCCATCTAAAATATACTGTATCTCAAAGGCCCCTTGTGGGAACCAATTAGCTTCCACATAAAAACTAAACTAAGACCATGGTATGAATTAGTCTTCAATTTCCTCTCCTCTGGTACATTAATTTAGTGCATATATATACAGTATATATTGCACTGAATAAATGCAGTTATTGACTGAAAGTGAGAAAACATTAAAAAGTTCAATAATCAAAACTTGACGAAGGGCAGAGAGTCACCAAATGTCTGTCTTCTCGTTTAGAAGCAAAACGTATGAAATTATCATTATGACCAAATAAACTGCAAAAGGCTAAAAAATACTGCATTTAATTGACATAAAATGTCAGCCCTTCAGTGCTGAATCACTGCTGTTGTTTAAGAAATGGGGTTTACAGCAAATGTTCAGGAGAGATAACAGTTGAATCAAGTTGAACTTTGCCTCAGCTGCCATAACACATAGTCATTCTTGAAGTCATTGCCTAAACATAAGCTCCCTCACATTAGTCTTTGGCATTCCTTCTCCACCCCACCGCCACCTGGTTGTAGACCCCATTTCATTCACTCCTCAATATGCATGGGAGACCCAGCCTCCCACAGCCAGGAGGATGGCCCTCAGCCAAGCGGGTTAAGCCAAATCAAACTATGACTCAATAAACATTTTCAATACATTTAACTCTTGGTGTTATTTCTTGTGAATCAGAAAACATTAGAAAGTTGCCCATTCGATCAAATGAAAACGTGTATTCAGTTGACACAGCAACATTACCTGTACAAACAGCAGTGGAACCTCAATATCTTATGATAAACCATCCCCTTATACCATGCAGCACATAAGCTTCTACACTTCCAAGCACACAACAGATTTAAAGCGAGATCTCATCTCTCATACATCACCATCTTACCTCAATTCAAAATGAAAGAATCTTCAAGAGTCAAGAAAGGGTGATATGTCAGAGACACAACAACAGAACAAATAGACAAAAGTCAGAAGAGACAGGAAGAAAAGTGGCTCTGATCATTGGTGTGGAAAGGCAGGATTTGAGGGTCCTGATTGTATTTATATTTGGGAGTAAAGTCAGACCGGATCCAACTTTCAGGGAAAGTACGTGATCTGAGTCTGAGTCTCTTAAACTCCCACCTTTAGGCTGCGTGCTTTTCTGACGTCAATCCAGCACCCCTTCACAAGAAAGTTTCCCTGCTAATAAAATCTGTATACTGTATCATTACAAGGTAACTGAGTTTTTATCTTTAAATGTATCACAGTCCAGTTAATTGCTGTGTGTCAGGCACTGCTCATAATACAGCACATTAATCAGGAAAATGTGTGCAGTGAAAATAAACTGCTTCATCCGAGAGCGCTGTGTTATTTCCAAACAAACAAAATGGGTCTCAAAATATTGTTTTCACATTGCTTGCATTTCTAACACAGTTCCCTGACATCCATGTTACTACGAACAGCCCTGGATTTCCAAAGCAGTGGCATTGGAGGAAAGCCACAGTGTTACATTTGAATAAATAAGTATTAAGAAATCTACACTAAAATGGAAATGCATATGAAGAAATAACATAAAAAGGAAACACAGTCACCTTGCTGGATTCTCCTTGCATTTCCCGGGGGAAAAAGAAGTAAGGTATAGAGGTGACAGCCAGGCTCCCTGCAGATACCAACAGCCCCATCCACCATGCCCCTATCCAGCGAGGGTCAGAAGCGTTTAGCTCCAGCTTGCTGCCTTTTGGAGGTGGGGGGCAATCAAAGATACACATGTTGAAATGTAGAGCTGAGACATGCAAGAATAAAATCTACTCATCCTGTGACTCATTTATCTGAAGTACCAATAAGGTTGGTAACACCTTCCAAAGAATGTGTCCAAAGAGATGACAGAGGACCTGTAACTTGTTATCAATTGTGATAATGTAACACTCCACTACCCTGAGTGGTTACAGTTGATGCACAGTAAAGTGCGTGTTAGTGGCAAAGGCTAGGTTAAGAGGAATATAGCTGTGTACAGTTTCAGGAGCTGGAGTGCTGGTCTTACAGGCGTCCAATATACAGTACAGGGCAGTGGAAAATCTGCTTACCTGGATTGATTTTATCCACATCAACATAGACCCGAAGCATCACTGAGCCAAGCAGGTACCCTAAGGCTGGCCCAAACACTGCCACTGCAAAGAGAATGGCTGGAAAAGAAAAGATTTCCAGGAAATGTTTTTAGAAGCGGACCCTGCTGAGATCAGTCTTATCCAATACAGGTTCCAGACACTGCCTATTGGCTTTGCCCACATTTTGGTTGGAAGACAGAATTGGGCATTTTGAGTTCAGCACGAGATATGGTACAAGGAACAACCAATTTATACATTAAAAGAAACAACACTGCTTCAGAAGCTGAGGGCCAGTTCTGAGCCAATAAAAAGCCTTTTACCTATATAAATTGGGGAATTTCCTGATTCTGCAAAGTCGTCCACGTAGGAAATGCCAAAAGGCTGAATGGGCACTGAGCCAACCCCAAACAGCAGCTGGGCAATTGCCATCAGGAGCCACAGGTTGTTCGTCTCGCTAAGCTGCCTGGAGTCCCCATCACTGCAGTGCCCAGTGGGAGGAAGGGAAGAGGCATTGCCCTCTGGGAGGCACATGTCTCGGGATAGGTTTCCTAGGAAACAGTGAGGAACAGGGGCTTTATTAACTGTGGGACTAAATACAGAGTGATTTACTAGACAGGCAATTCAACATTTGCATGTTTCTGACCTTACCTCAATGTGTCTTAGTACACACAGCATATTGTCAAGCGCTAGCTAGCATGGAACAATCAGTAAGCCTGATTCATTTGCTTATCTCTGATGCATCGTACTGCCTTGATGTTGACTGTGAAATATAAATGTATTCATAAGCACACTGCCCGGCCATTCATAAAAATGTTGCACCGAGAAATGAAACAACAGCCCTTCAGCCTATTTGCTGCAGCCATGCAATTGAAGAAGTCTCCTCCAGGCTCCTTGTACAATACAGACCTCTGGTTTAATCAAGGCGTATACTGTAACATAGTCAAAGGTGACATATATGTCATTTGCCTATTTGAAGTGGTTTCTAGTGTGCTTCCCCAAGTGGATCCTAGACAACATCATTAATATGTTACTGTAGGTAAAATATTGTTTGTAGGGTAAACATTTTTTTCCAGATGTGAAAAGGTTTTTCATTTTTCAGGATGTTTCAAAGTATTGAATGACATTCTCTTAGGACGGTGCATTATTCTTTACCGTCCTGGATAAGGAATAAAAAGTCATGTCATTATACTTTTATTTCCAAATGTTTTTGTGGGGTTATATACAGGCATCAATACCATTGTGCTGAAAGCAATTTACTATACCAAGAGTGAATTTCCACACGAAATTCTTTCTTTAATATAAGAAAATCTGTGACTCGTTGGCATGTCAAGGAATACGTTGAGAGGTGCCAATTGACCCCCCAGTATGATATTTAGTTTAATTAAACTACAAAGACTTTATTCTGTTATGTATACCTTTGTTGTTTAGGGAATACATTTAAGAAATTATAAAAGAAGAGCATTCCAGTATAGCTTCCGTTCACATTAGAAAAAAACACAAAATCTTATGAGATGAATCTTATGAATTCATGAACGCTGAATCTTATGAGATGATCTTGTTGCATAACCGCACTGCCTGTGTTAATACTACAAAAACCCTGTTTTATTTATTTTTGTGCATATAAGGTACTTTGCTGGGTTAACACTGAATTCCGATCCCTGTCTTACTGATAAGCCTTAGAAATCTCCTCTTACATGTTGTCCATGCTTAACAGTGCAGGCCTAACCCAGCACTTGGAGGGAACTAAACAGTAATCACTTAGGTACAAAATTAAACTCTTAAGACAAACAATATATCTAGAACTGACACTGCGTTTTAAGATGAGCAGAGCTAAGCAATATGCATCTGCCATCTAATGATCTCACTAGATGATAGCTCAATTAAAATCAACTCATGTAATAGGCTGTTAAAATCATTGGGAAATTAACCTAAACAATTTGAACTCTGCCTTAAAGCTAATAATTACCTGCTTGGCTTTTCTTAACCACAAAGGGATTAACTTATAATGTAGATTTATGTAACTGCTTACAAATGGGAGATGCTACAGGGCTTTGAAAGCAGGCAGGATACTGATTTGCACTCAGTAGGTTTATTGGGCAGCAGTGTCTTATTAAAGTCTCACTTAAAACTGAAGAGTATTAAAACAGAACTCAGAAAGCCCATTAATTAATTTCCTTTTACCTCTAAACCATAGAAAATCCATGCATTCAAATTTCTATTGCAGCTTCAACATGTTCAGATATGTCCTGGTTTCTCATTGTTTTCTAGAGTCTCTGTAAAACCTCAGTATCAAGGTGGTAAACTGCCCAAGGGTTGTAGTACTGAGCTCCAACAATGCACTTTCTTATTGGATGTATTATGAGGGCAGAGGTGAAACGTAAAACAGTTCCAAAGTATCCAGAAGAAAGGAGTGGACGCAGTGCTCTTACCTATCAGTACAGTGGAATATTCATAAGGCTGAGACAGGAAATGGGGCAGTGTCAGTATAAGGGCACTAAATGACATTAAGATCCCGCCTAGTCCAATCAGCCTTGGCCTGTGAACACGACTTCCAAAGTAACTCACAAAAACAATAAGGACTGTATTGCTGATCTGGAAAAAAAAAACAAAAATGTAATTTGAAACATTATGCAGTGACAAGAATTTTTGGCAAACCAAAAAGATATAAATGTACTTTCACATTAAAGGAATTTTATAATTTCTTCATATGGAACAAGTAAAGGTTTATTCCATGATGAAAAGAGAAGAAAAGAAACAATAAGTAACAGAAGTGACTCCACAGCTGAAACATTGTGTTTCTTTTCTTTTCTTTTCAGCATTTATTAAACCTTTGCTGGTTCCATTGCAGTCTATGCATGCTGATGCAGTTTCCCACTTGAACTAATTTCCTCATCCTGTAATTGTACAGTATACATACTGTGTATGTATAGAAAACCCTGTTAACATTTATGGTTTCTGGCATTTCAAACAGAGAAGACAAAACAAACAAAGGAGAATCCAGAGTATGCTTTTGTAGTTAGAAACCAATAGTTAAATCGATTTTTAAAAATATCAAAACATTACACCATTAAGCATTTTTTTACAGTGAAAGACATATTGGATCCATAACAATTTATTTAGCTATTTTTCAATTCAGTGAAAGCAACATTTCTTCCTTATGCAATAGAATATAACACAAACTGTTGCTAATTAAAATGCAAATGTCGAAAGAACACAGCTGTGCTAAAATATTATAGAAATGTTGTACATTATAAATGCATTGAATATGTAATGAGCATTTATAAACATATCTTAAAGCCCAAACAAAATCTACCCCTACACCTCAAAGTATTAAATTTATTACTTGAAGGATGGGAGCATGGACAGAACCAAGAGGACAAAATGCAATCCATCATCAATTATTGCACCTACAACCTACAATTGAAAAGCGGAACCAAAACTTCAAATTGGTTCTGGTCTAAATATTTTATATCTTTACACACATAACAGAAAAACTGTTCAACATTCAACATTTGCAATAGGTTCCAGTACTCATTTGTTGTGTTTGTTATGCCTCTCAGAGTAATTTGTCACTTTTAAGAAATGGTTAGAATGTTAAATGTCTGCTATTATTTCTAATCCTCATCCCAACCTCAGTGCCTGATTTCCCATTGGGCACAGTAGGCACAGTGCCTAGAGCCTACAAAATTTCTAGGGCCTAAGAAGGAGGGAAACACTAGTGACTAACGAAAAACAAGCTGAAACAACATGCTTGCGATCGACTCTAGGTGCTCCAAATCAATAATCATAAGCAATCTAGCTGCTGTTCTAGAAACTAGAAGTATTGAAGTGATGGTCACTCGATTCGCTCCATCAATCACATGGTTTAGCACTAGAATACTTTAAAGTGCATCATGTCAATCGATGTAATTCATTTGGGGTTTACCCCTCTTTTTGTACATTTCGGAGTGCCTAGGGCCTATGTACACCAAAATCCGGCCCTACCCAACCTGTCAATATTCTCATTAATAGCTAACATTGTTACAGGTTGTTTGGTTGGGTACCTTATAACATGCCTCTAAGCTAAAATATTTCCCAAAAGTGTCAAAATATGCAAAGATCCTTTAGTCTATTTAGTCCACTTTGATCTCTGAAAGTAAGTTTGAGGTAAACCTCAGGATAATGAGCTACTCACTCCAAAACCTGCTTTGCAAGTTAATGGTTTTCTACAGAGGCAAACACTAGGTCAAAATGTGCAGCAAAGGTGACATAACCTGCTAAGTGGATTCCATACTAGTTTACCTCATGTAGGCTGGAGATGAATCCCGATGAGAAGCTGTTGAGCCCAAAGCGTTTCTCAATTGTGGTGACGGTGCTCTTCACGTAGGCGCTGTAGAGCAGTTGGGTCAGCTGCATCGAGCCATGACACAACACAAAGAACTGAGGGAAAGCACAGAGGGGCTGCAGTCAGTACTGCGTTATTCAGCTGGAACACATCTGGGCTTTCTCTCCCAGAATGTTAACGTTACTTATTAAATATTGTGTTTGTTTACTTCCCACACCTCGAAAACAACACTGGGAAAACAAGAAGGAGGGGAAGCGAATATAACTCACAGGAAGGTTACAAATCCAAGCAGACCATTGCGCAGTCTGTAAGGGTGCCTTACACTTTCTGTCTTCTGGTCTTTCTTTGTGTCTTTGACCATAGTGTCAATCACATTACAAATTCAACCCTAACCAATAAACCATTTCCTCTGGCTCAGACCTACCTTCAAAAGAAAATGTTGCCCATCTGGGAATAAAATATACCACCTAAATAATCCCTATCATATGATTTTAACAAACGAATCCTACATTACCAGTGTTATTTTTATTGTTATTACCATATTCGGTACTTTCCAGCACTGACCTCTGAACTCTATCATTACCGGAGGGATACATTTCCTGTCATTTCCTCTTCTAATGCTTTTAAAGTGGAAAAATTAAGCTTTTACTGCTTTTCTTTGGAAAAAAGAGTTACCACACACAAAGGCACAAGGCATTGAAACTTAGTACAATAATTTAAAATGAACACAGTATTCATACTATCTTTATTATTACAAGAGGCACAAACTGTGACCTAATGGCATAAGCTCTCACTATGGCAGAAATCTGACAGTCACATAACTAAAAAGTAATGCCAATACAATTAGGGAAATATCCATCTTGTATTTCAAATACAAATGGGAAAATGTCTAAACTACTGTAAGTATTCTTCAAATAGAAACTTCACATATTTTACAAACCATATGAGCATACGGTTTGAGGATGCATAAGTTCAGTAAATCGAGTTTTTAGTTTCTTTCTTAGGCTGGCATGCACTAATGAATTCATTTAAATAGCACTATCAGTGAATCTAAACTCATTTCAGTAGTTCAGAAAAGCACATCTGGCAACAGTAGCAAGAAGAATGCAAAAGAAGCTGGTCAGACAACAAAATGTTAATTTATCTACTGTAGTTTAACACTAAGTCTTTTGTGTCCTTTTGTGTCGTTGTCTATGTGTCTGTATTTGGTAACAATGCGCTCAAAGAAATATATATTTGAAAACAACATTGCAAGAGAAGAATTAGCTCAAGCCGAATTACAGAACATTTTTCAACAGTCAACACTGCTGGAAAAAACTAATTTAATGGTGTCTAAGATCATGACCAGGTGTAGCACAAAATCTACAAAATAGGAAATGGAAAGTTCCCTTGAATTTGGGAAAGGCAAGGTGCGTAGATTACAAAACGTGGCTCATTACAAAGCTACGCTTCTTTCTATTTTGACACTGTGTCAAGCACAAAGCAGTTTCTTTAGAAAAGTAATTTAGTTGAAGAGAGCTGGTGTCCCTGTTATAAAAGCTCCAAAGGAATGGCTTTCATCACATTTGTAAATTGTTTAGATTTCTGCCCCTGAAAGAACACCAATGACAAGTAACAGAGGAGGTCAGACAGAGTCCTTCATGGATACGGTTTCAGCAGCCTGGAAGACAGTTTGTCCCACTTTACGTAGCTGTTAATTCGGAAAGCACTTTTCCAGCAGCGAAGTCCTTGAAAACCTTCTACCATTCCTATCGGAGTGATCAAGAGACAGACAAAATTTTAAGAATTCAATGTTTTAAGAATGTAGATAAGAAAACAATTGCAGAATATTTTCTCAGTTTGATGGATATGCTGGTTCAGCTCCAAACATACGCAACAGTGTAGCCACTTTTTTTCCTCAAAAGTTCCAGTAACTGCAGTGAAAGGAAGCAAATTATTTCCTTTTCTTGTTCTGCAAACACTTCTTTTTTGACAGAGCACAAATAATGTCACTTGGCATGAAATACACTTTCAATTTCATTGACCTTCTTTGCCAATATGCTGCTATCATTGTTGTATCTTTTGCTGCTTCGGCAGAAAGATGTAATGAATTCTTGCAGCTTTTCAGCAGTAAAATTTGTCAAAATAAAACTTAGGTGTTGATATTCTTATTGTTATCCAAATTTCCAAACCACCATTTGGTTTTGGTGAGACCACCATTTCCAATTATTGTGCAGAGAAAAAGACATTAACCTTTCACCACCTGAGTACTGTTTCATTTAGTAAACAGGTGGCCCAAACCTTTTCAAGTGCTTATTTAAGAGAGCCTTTGAAAAGTTTTTTAAAAAACATTTAAGAATGAGTTTTTCCTCTTTTTTTACTCAAAAACTGATTAAAACTGATCTTACATATAAAAAAAACTTTCATATAATGATTTATAAGGCTTATAAGGCTTTTCAAAAATGAAAGGGTTTTTGCCATGAAATGATGAAGGACCAACAACATCAAAACCTCAAGCCTACTCACACTTCCAAACTATCAGTCACGTCATGTTGTCACCCTGTGGGTTATTGGGAAAGAGTGTTTTGAAAACCTCATCTTTTGTGGTTATTGGTAATGGCTATGAATCTTCTGGCCTGTCTGTCTACTTGTGATGCCACAGTCTGTTGTTTGGAACACCTTTCTCGGCAAAATTTCAAAGACAAGACTGACTCATCAAGGGATATATTTTGCAATGGGCTCCGCGCATTGACACAGGTATATAATCCCTCAGCATCTGACTGTGAAATACAAATCAGGTGCAATTTTAGTACTTGTGAAGAGTATTTACGTCATTGAATATTATAGACAAGTATTTTGCAAATACATGTAAAACCACAAAGCTTTAGGTACTTTTTGATAGTGCCTGAAGAGATTAGTACAAGCGGCATTAATAACATATAATGTCTCAGATTTCGTCGCTCACGTAATTTTCAAAGCTCTTAAATGTTTTAAACAACAATGTCACTGTTTTAAACAAAACTGAAGAGCTTTATAAATAGGTAATAAATAATTAATTGGACAATGTATTTTGAAACACTCAGATTGTGGCAGGAGCATCAGCTGGGATCTAATATTTTTAATAATCAATATTAAAGATATTTCAGATCAAAGAGAACACATTTAGCCATCTCAGCCTGTTCATCACCCTGGCTGCTTTATCTTCTTTCATTTACATAAGACATATTCACACTGTATCAGCAGTTTAGATTTAGCTATCAAAGAGTCTTTCAAAGAGACCACTTC